ATATATATATATATATATATATATATATCACCTCCATTTTATCAAGAACACGCTTATCACATGTGATAATACGTGTGAGGGGACTCTGTGATGTGCGGACGACGTGTTCTACGACTCAGGCTGCATCAAAGGTTGTCTATGTCTATGATTTAGTATCATATGTGATGATCTTGATAGATTATAGTATCATATCAACAACCTTATCACATGTGATAATACTCGTGAGGGGGCTTAGTGGTGTATGGGCGACTTGGCCCGCAACCAAGATCACATTGAAAATCGTCTGCGTTACTAATTTAGTATCATATGTATGATGGAATAATAGTATCACATATGATTATCTATAGTAAAAAAGTGTATGAACCCTTTCATATATATATATATATATATGTGTCCCCACTGACAAAGCTGTATTTCAGTTTCGACTTCTTATAAAATATTTAGATTGCAAGATTCTTGTTTATCCGATCCTTCCAATAAAGAAGTAATATATGCTTTTGTTTTTCTACACAATTAATTACAAACTTTCTGTTCATGCACATTCAATAGTGGGAAACAATGTTCAAAAGAGATGCCCTTGTTCTAATTAATCTCCTAAATATTAATTCCAAACCACCCTCCATTCTTTCTATCTGACCTTCCATCTTCTCCAATCGAGACTTACCATATGACCATGACGACAATCCGTCTCTAACGCATCGATGAAGTAACACCGCGTCCGATCCTTTCAAACCGTTCGTTGCACTCCAGTATCGTTCTTGTTGTTGATAATGGTGTTCTTCGCACGCCACTTTCGTTTTCTGGATCAATTTCGACACCACCAAAGACCATTTACATGCCTTTGATGTTCTTGAATCTGGCATGATGAAAAGGGTCAAGAGAGACCGGAACACCGAAACAGTCACTTCCCTAACCTCCATTACCATTCTGACCACCACCTCGTGCATGCAGTGATGGTGGTGGTCATGATCTTTAGACTTCGCTGCTACAGATCGCGTTAACCTCCCAATCAATCCTTTCACATCTTTCTTAACTTTTTTTCTGAAACAATTGTAACGTGCAGTACAGGTTTCAAGGCTTGAATCTTCTTTTCTTCTTCGTAAAGCACACTGCAGGTCTCTAATATGCTCTTTGATTTGCGACACGAGATCTCTTATGATGCCACAAACATCCAAGAACTCAACCAAATCGTCCATCAGCTTTTCCATCCATTTCTCGTTGTGGGTCGAGGATAACGAATTGAAAAACTCATGCATGCATTCATACAATCTCGACAACTTCAATACGCCATCAAAAATGGCTTCTGTAGACGGCTCACGTGGTGACGACTGTACCCATGTTTTGATGTCGTTAAGCTCTTTCTCGATCTTATCTGCGGTCGGATGCGATGTCGTAGGGAAACTAACGGATCGAATCTCGTATGAGATCGCCATGGCTAACGAAAGGAAATTGAACGTGTGTTGGATTGTTGATGATATGGTTGGACTCAGGTTTGAGCTCTGCTATTTATGCTTGTATGTAAGATGCCATTATTGGCTTCCAAGATTGGGACCTTTTTTTAAAGCTATAAAAGCTCGTATTATTGGCTTTCATGATTATATTAGGAAGTGTAATTAATTAGAGAACAATTTTACACAATTGGTCCTTATACTTTTCTTTTTGAAAATATCATCTTCGACAACAACTTTAAACAATAGAACGGACGGGAAGAATCACCGAGACACCGATAGTCACCTTCGTTTGTCAAATTAGCCGTAAACTTAAATAATATTATATATATATATATATATATATATTGAACAACAAGCATGCATTTCACCAAAACGAGCTAGCGAGAAGCTACAAGTACAAGAAAGACATCAAACATCAACTAAAGGATTACAACGCCAGTTCCAAATAATAGCTTCGTCCCCCTTCTAATTCTACTTTTAACCCACATGAAAGAATTCAACATCATCTCGGACACAATAATGCTGAAAGGTACTGTCCCCTTATTGTTGAAGGTTAACGAGTTGTGAAGCTGGCATATAGACCAGAATACATAGCAATTGCGATGTCCAAAATCAAGTGCAAAATGTTTTTTGAGTATACAAAATTGTCATATAGACCACTTAAATAATATATATCAATATTATATTATAAAACATTTGACAAAAACTCTTAAAAATCATTCTTTATGCACGAAGTACTGTGTATTAATGTATATTACTTAAAATTTAAGATTACAAGTAAATTATGCATGAATATGTACAACTTATTAAAGCTCCATTTTTGAATTCGTATAACTAACTACAGATAAACATAATCAAATACAAGATAAACATCTCATTTTAAATATTAAAAATCTAAAATATAATAAGATAATAATTGAGTTCCAACAAAATCATCATCTTTATAAAAATTATATTGTTAAGCCAAAAGTAAATTACTTCGCTATTAGACCAAAATTAAACTACAATAAAAAATTGAATTAAAGAAATTGTACAAAAATAAAACGAGAACTTTTAAATACTTTAATTTGATATTAATATCGATATATTTTTTAAAATTTTTATGATACTTTTAAATTTATTTTTATTCAAAAAGTGTAAACATTATCTTCCATAAAAATCACATAAACCGTATTATATCAAAATAGACAAAAAATAAAACGGAACATTCAAATTAATTAAGATGCATGTCGCTGCATTATGTGAGTACCCTTCTAGTGCAATACAAGGGAAAAAAAAGACAATCGAGTCTTAAAAGGCAGCTAGCTATAATCAAGTTCGACTAGTTTTGACTAAAGTGCTAAAAAAGTTTAAGTTTGGAGTTCAAAGTGCAAAAAAACAAAGTTGCGGGTAACATTTGAATTCATTCAAAGAAACATGCAGGGACCAATCATGTAAATTATTGTTCATTAATAAATGAATGTATGGGCTGGCCTTTCCTTCAGGAGTTCAATTATGAAGAGCACAATGGCAGCTTTAAATATTAATGAATCTGGTATCGAGATACACACGGTGTATCTATTTATGAAACGCAGTCTGCCACGTCTTGATTCCTCCAATACTGCCACGTGTCTTCAAATCCTCTGGTACACGTATTACATGGTCCAAACTTGTTGGATGGGTCCGATTGTTTCAGTGTATGATTAAGATACATAATTTATACTTAAATACATTTCAACAATCAGAATCAAACTGTTTTTGAGTGTCTGAATCAAAGCAGATTATATCTACTGCAGTCACCACTCGGGCCGGACCCACACTGGTACGGGTTGCGCTTCGTTCTTATGTCGTAGTGTAAGGGCTGTAAAAGGTGTTATTGTAACGTTTTGTTGTGTGTAATCATATATATTTTAAAACTACATGATAACATAAGTCTTCTTTGATAGAGTTGATTTGCATACTTTTTCTTATCCCAAGTGCAAGTTTGAATCTAGTCTGGCTTGTTACTTTAGTTTTTAACTTTTAATTTTAGATTTATTATGTTTCTGAAACAAAATTGCGATTAACGACTCGATCCCAAAACCTCACATACAAAAGGTAAATAACTAAATAACAGACCAATGATGATTTTGTGCCACCCTTACAAAATCTCTAGGTCCATCTCTTAGAGTTACAACATTCAAGATTATAACCACAAAGGTGGTGCCTGGTTGATTTGAGTTTGGCTCCAAAGGTCAAAAGTATCTGGAGGTCCCAGGTTCAAATCCAAGGAGGAATAAAAATCCCCTTGTGGCCACGGAGGTTCAAATGCGGTAACTCCGGGCTATCTGCAAAATAGGTGGTCGCGCCTGGGATTAGTCAGCTCGCATAACGGGTTGGATATCCAGGTTATATAACATGATGGTGTTATTAAGTCTAAACACTTAGAAATCATGATGAAGCGTTTTTCTCAAGATGTGGCGTAAGGCGGTGGATATGTATATGCATATGTATGTATATTTACGCACACTGGTGTAAGTTTGCATACATGCAAGCTTAATTGTGAAAGTTATCGTTTATTTACTTGATGAAACCTTTGAACGACCTCCAAAAATGGTCATATGGGCTTAGATTGTTGTTTCGGACGGTTAACTTCTTCACCTCGTGTCCACTGAGGATTCGTACTTCGAATGTGTTAGCTAAAACCTCTAACAAATTGTTATAGTAACTGTCAAACAAATCTTGAGCTTATTGATTGTGTTCTTGTTTATAGATATAATGTTTTTTTTCTCTTTCTCTCGTGCCCTTCCGGCTTTCATAAGGACGTTAATTCTCGGTTTGGTCTATACGATTTTAGCTTTTTGTGGGCTAGAAATTCTTAACTAATAGTATTAAATCCAAATATAGATATAAAAGCAAGTAAAATATAACTATAGTTAAAAAAAGTAATAACATGATATTATATAGACTTGAGATCATGTGAGACCAATGGTTTTTTGTGAGACCCGTAAGACCAATTCTCAACCCTTAGATTAGATCTATAATCTGACAATCTAAACATTCATAAACGCCACAAGATTTCTTAATAATTACCAAATTGACACCGTGCAATTTAGACCGTTACATCATTAACATATAAAGTTGATCAATGAACATAAATGGGTCTTACGGGTCTCACGAAAAACGTTTGGTCTCACGTGAACCCAACCCTATATATATATATATATATATATATATATTATCATAAAACTCCAATTAAAATCACTATAAACTTAAAACATGTAAAAATACAATCGTACAACTATGAATTACGTATTAGAATTATAGGGGCATGTTCAAACGAGAAGCTAAACATTTTACAAGAATACAAGAAGTTTCAATATAATATACGATTAAACACATGTTGCATTGACAACACATAGATGCATAATCATATATGATTAAAACACCCAAAGAAGTGGAATCATATATGATATTGAAATTTCTCGTCTTCTCACAAAATGTTTAACTTCTTGTATGATCATTAGTCCTCTAGAATTGTGTGTGTGTGCGACAGAGAGATATGAGAGGGTTCAAACGACAACACCTTCATTTTACGAAAAAATCAGAACACCCTTTTACTTCAGATAATCACATGTGATACCATATTCCATCAAATATGATACAAACGTGATACTATATCAGTACATGGAAGACTTTTGACATGATTTAGGTTGCGAGCCAAGTTGTCCTTACACTACTAAGCCCTTCATGTGTACTATCACATGTGATAAGGGTTTTCTATTATTCTAGTAATATAGAGGTGTTTTCATTTCACTACAACAAAATCGGTTTTATTGAACACTTCAAAATTTTAAGTGTCCTAATAGACCTCTTTATAAAACTTAGTTTATAGGACCAAAAAAAAGTGTCATATCTAAATGTATTGTAATAAGTTTATATGACGTTTTTTGATGTTGTAATAAGTTTTTTAGGACACTTTTAGTATAAAGCGTCCCATTATCAACTTTATAGGACACTTTTGATAAAGTGTCCTATAAACTCAATTTTTTATAGGATATTTGTTTTTATAGGACAGTTTTTCAAATAGTGCTTGATAAAGTTGATAATGTGACGTTTTATATTAAAAGTGTCCTAAAAAACTTATTATGACATCAAAAAACATCATATAAACTTATTACAATACCTTTAGATAGAACATTTTATTTTTTTTGTCCTATAAACTAAGTCGTATAAATAGGTCTATTTAGACACTTAAAATTTGAGTGTGTCCTAAAAAACCGATTTTGTCGTAGTGTTTGAACCTCCACCTGTATGATATCATATACATATATATATATATATATATATGTATGTATATATGTATATATGTATGTGCGTGTAATTGTGGGGTTGGTAAAAGAATCAAATGGAAAGGTCGATATATATTGCAGACTGGATTGGTTTAAGTATCTTTCAAATCAAACGACACCTCCAAACCATCAGACATATATAATGAACACAAACTTATGGTCTGATTGATTCATCCGGTTTTTGCGGGTCACTCACTATTTAGAAACACCCCTAGTTTTTCAATAGAATATTCACCGTGTCTTTAAAAAAAACATTGAAATCAAGCAACTGATCCAAGAGTTGAATATTGCGTATTTGAGGATGTGCTGAATGACCATTTCTTTATTGATGGGTCCTGAACCAACTAAGCCACAGTATTGGCATATGGTTATTTAGATACCAATCTATATAATATGTGTTTAAAAAGATGTAATGAAATCGAATCTGTTTTAAACAATTATAATCTACGATACATGGTTTCAGTGCCATGCACCTGGTAATAATGCACCGCCATCTTATGCTCATCTACCATTTTGAAAAGGATTATGACATTTTCTATACTAATTATAAGAAATTTCAGTTTGAATTCGATGATTAATTTTAATTTGTGAAGATGTGTCGACGAATGAATGAGGGTCGTAGACTTGAGTCTTTCTAAATAACGGATAACGTTTTGGTCGTTTGATATTGGT